TCTACAATTTTTTTTTCGGGACAGCAGCAAAGTTTCAGTGCATATGGGCTTGGTAATTTCATACCGTGCTTGTTCAATCAAATGAAGTTATTCTCCGTCTTTAAACAGGACGATAATATCAAATACTTGGAAACAAATCAAATAGGTATGTATTCATTTGTTGCCTATTAAATTCAATTATGTATAATGTGACAAAATTGATACTAATAATTCCACATCTTGTCGAACTAATATTCAATTCTTGACTTTTATCTACATATATATTCAAGTACATGTATATGCTTAACATGACAATAATGCACGGTCGGCTGCTGAAAATGATAAATATAATTCCCCGGTTATATTTGATGGTCTCGTTATTTATCAATCATCATTTTTCGGGAAGTAATATACCATAATTATAAATTGTTTGGTCGACACAACGACCTTGTTTGCAACTACAATCTATTGTTGAGTCGAATATTGACTGACATTTTTCATATAAATTATTATGCCATTGTTTTCAAAATGAAATTGTTACGATTTTCGTTTCCCTGATCATGACAAAGAGCACACGGCGGATGAGAACGGTCGACAGGGAATGCTAATAGCTCCATGGCACCTGATCCTTCCTCTACTATCATTCCAATAACAGCGTTTCGCTTTGTTTGATCGAGAGTACAAAAGTTTCAAATGCTGGTTACCATATTTCTCATCGATTGGATGTTTGATTTCAATAAAAAGAATACTACTTTGCATATGAAACAGAGAACCCAGTAATACACTGATAATACTGACAAATCGCATTGAATGAATGCTTACGAGTGTGGCATTTGTAATAAACAGCATCACTTGGCCAGTGAAAGACCATTGCTGGCTTCTCTGTTCATATGCAAAATAGAATTCTTTTTATTGAAATCAAACATACAATCGATGAGTAATAAGGTAATCAATACTTGAAACTTTAGTACGCTCGATCAAGGAAAATGACACGCTGTTATTAAAATGATAGTTTCAGAGGTCCGTTTATGTTCTGTTCACAATCTGTACTGTTTGCTTAGAATAATTAGTATGATTTTGCTAATTATCTTAACGTTCAATTTTAATTTTAAAAAATGTCAGAATTTTGAAGGGTACCTACATTGTAATGTACAAATCATTCTATCTTTACTTAACTTTGGAGACACTAAGACATGTGTGATTGGAAGCAGAAGATAAAATGAATAAAAATAGAGATTAATTATAACAGGTTACATGTAATGATCGATTGAAGAATTTGATTAAATTTAAGAGAATAATGAACTTGAGGATTTGCAGTGAGGTAAAAAGAAAAAGAAATGCACTGATGCGAGACTGCTAATCGCCGCCCGAGAAAAGCATTTTGTTTACACTGAAATATAATTGTTCTTAAACTCATTAAAATGTCCTTCAAATAGTCTAAATAATATGATTAAATTTGTTGTTCGGGAGAGACATGCATATTTTCTTGATGCAGGTTCATACCCTTTTGGTGATGCAGTAGGAAACTGCACAATGTAGCTTCTGTCAACCATTTTGTTAAAAACTACTTAGGAGTTAGGAGTTTGGAATGTTTTCCTCCAATATTTTTTATTCAAATAAATTATGGGAACAAAAACAGTCTCATTTAATCTTGAATAGACATATTAAAATTTGTGACAACAAAAAAAAATCAAATTACTTCGCACTTTCAATTATTTGACCTTTTTGCACTCAAAAATATCATTTTTCTGGCATTAAAAATTCTAACAAGCAATAAAATCATTTGAAAGTAATGACATTTTACTGAATTTAAGAAGAATGGTTAAAAGTATCTAATATATTCAGAAAAGGAAATTAAAAGTGGGGGTTTGTGATGTTAATTTTTAGATATTACTAAAATAGTGCTAATTTTAAGCTTAAGATAGGGCTACTTTTTCTGGATTTTCGCAATATATTTACTATATTTATCATATATGATGATAGAATTCATGATAGTTTATTTAATATATATAATTTAGGACCAGCAGAAAACAGTTCACGGCACAAAATAACTTTGTGTGCAGGCAGCATGGAAAAAAATAGGAATCCAAACTTAACATACTTTAAATACTTCGAAAGAGAGAAAAAAAAAAGATAATTTTTTTTCTAAAAATCCATCCGCCACAAAATATAGTTCCTCACTTAATGCTTTTGGCATGGAATTTAAGCATGGAGTTTTAACTGAATATCATTTACTTGGTATTGTAGAATCCAATTTTGCTGAAAGAACTTGTACATAATGCAGAATTTTTGAAATATAGGTTAAGACAAAATCTGCTCAAAAGTTCAGGGGCGAACATCGTTAATTGCATAGAGAAATGGAGAAGAATGGTGGACAGAATACGGGATACGTAAAAGCTATGAAAAAGGAATCTGAGAAAATGACAATACAGGAAACAGAAGAAAGGCTGCTTGAATGCAGGTTTTGTGTTAATTACTATTTTGGGTTGAATTTCACTTTCAGTCGGAATTACTAACGAGTTTAAATCTGAACTCATTCCAATCAAAGGTTCTAGAGTAAAGATCAGGCCCCGAGATCATAAACTGAGAACAGACTTGAGTCAAAATTTTGATTTTGAATATTTTGAGTTTTCTTTAACAAACAAGTTTGCAGGTTTGTATAATATTCCAGTATAAATATATGATGACCATTTTATTCTGTTATCAAAATTATTTTCAAAATTATATGGATTTGAAATTTTGACTTAAACCTGTTCTCAGTTTATGGTCTTGGGGCCAGGACAAATAAGCAGACAAGTCAATGATTCTTCAACTTTCCGGCTGCTATCATTTTCGTTTTTTACAATCCTTCGTATCATATTCTGTATTTATAAAAGACTTCAGACACGAAAAAGTCATTCAATAATGAAGAGGTATCACAATTCCACAGCAAGGTACGTTTAATCATAGTCATTTTTTTGAAAATTTGCATATGATATACCAATTATACTAGTAACTACTTTCTGATTTTGTGTACTTGTAAACTAGGCATACAGCAACACATATCGATCATGGACAAGATGAGCAGAGGAATGAATCATCATGTACCAATGAAGACGGAATGTAAGTTAAAACATAAGGAGTTCAAATCTTGGCAAAGGTTATTATCAGGTACATTGCGACATGGACACAGCGTACAAGGTTTTGGCAAGTGTAAGTTTGACAAACACAAAACCTTCAATGCACTTTGAACCACAAATATCCTTTAAAAGAGCTGGTGACTACAAATTAATGATACAAACGGATTATCCTATAAATATAACATAACTAGATTAATAAATTGTTTGAGATTAATAAATCAAAAAGCTAGTCAAAAGGTAGAGTGCTCAATTATCAGATTCCAGTGCAATGAACATATACATTCTCTTTACAATGAGTTAAAAAAAAAAACAGACAAAATGAATAAAGCATAAACAATAATAAAAAAGAGTACTTCTTTAAAACTTATCACTGTAATCATTTTTGTCGCAACTTAAATGCCACATTGCAAAGAATAAACAAGTAAATAATCACAATGAACTTGTTGACATGACGTCATTTTAATTAAATTTTATGCAGTGCATATGCAGTGAGAGGCGGATCAAGAATTTTTTTCACAGTGAAAAATGCATTTGATCATTAAACAGAATATTATTGAGAAATGTTACATTCACCTTAAATACCAGTTCAAAACATTTGTTTTATAATAAAATAAAATATGATAACAATCGAGATGATGTATTGAATTAATTGTATACTGGGTTGCCAAGTTTAAATTTGAAGACCCTCGTAAAATCGCGTTTTCGCTAGGACAAACACTTATGAGATCTTTACCATTTTTAGAATATACATAAGGGAATGTTCCTTAACTTGAAAAGTGCTGTTGCTTTAATGAAAATGAGGGCATTACTACATAAATACATTAAATACTTTGTAAAGGTTACACATATTTCAATTTGAGCCCAATTACTTGAAACCTACACTAATAAAATGAGAATTCTATTTAAAGCAGCAGCACTTTCCAGAAACTACAAGAAACATAGAAACATTTTATCACTCAAATCTTTGATATGAAATTTGGTATGCTCTGGCGATATTGAAACTCCAAAGAACTGGAGAATATAAATTTTCAAAACCTTTTAAACATCAATTGCATCAAAGCATATGACTTTTGTACGCTTTATATAAATATTCTTAACGATAAATTGAAGAGTAGGCTCTTTGACAACACATATAACTACTCTCTTTGTAAAAGTAGAACACTACAAGTATTTTTTTAAATATCTTTTGACTGGTTACCTTGAAAAATACTTTGTTAAAAATCATCCTGAATCCACAAACAAGTCTCTGAAGCTGGCATTAAAAAGGATGCTGGAGATATTCATTGCCAATAACTACGTATATATAGTTTTAGAGAGCACACTAATGCCTGCCACATCTGTTTCATATTTGGATTTTTTACTTACCATAAAATAAAGACGGTTAACTTATAACTAAAATGTATGACAAACAGGATGAATTCAATTTTTAATATCGGGACTCTTCCTTGGGGATGCTCACTCCTCCATGGCACCTGAACTGTTGTAAACATTGGGTAAAGTGAAATATTATTCAGTTGCCTATTAGAAAAGGTAAAAAAAATAAAATTTAAAGATGTCATTAAAAATATTTAAAGTATTTAAAATCAATTAATTTTTTTTTTTTATAGTTTTTCATCAGAATTAAGTATAAATTATCTGAAAAGACTCTCTATCTACCGATTCAGATTTTAGGCTGTTGCAGGAAACAAACAAAATAAATATATAAATTGTTTAAATAATCTATGTACCAAATATAAATTAGTACGGAAATACAACAAAATAATTTATTTTGATTGTTTTCAATAAATTCAAGAATATAAATTCAATAAATTTTGCCTGCAATATATAGTAGTAATTATATCTCATAATGTTGCTGGACGAGTCCACCTATAAATAATTATTCGATTTATGTTTTAGTGCTTCAGCTACAGAAGAAGGACGTTTACGCAATGACAGGGAAACATCAGGACGTTATCCTTGTTTAGCATCCCATGGGGCGAATATGTAAGAATGCACATATTTTTATTGAAATCTTTCAGCGCTAAAAAATACCCATTATGATTGCTAATTTATCATACCAAAACATAAATAAATACATCTCACAAAATTGTTAAAATCATTGACTTGTGACACTTACAATGTTTTTGAAACTTTTAAGCATATCAAATTTCCTTGAATGGAATGTTATTTTGATAATTTAGGATAGTAAATAACGTGTATTTTTTTCCCATTTTTTAAGGATATTTCATTCGATATTAAGTTACAGTTTTTAATTCCATTTTCAAAATATATATAAGTATGCAGATCAGTAAAAAAAAAAAGCAAGCAAGCAAACAAACAAACATTTAGTTTCCTCTCTATCTTTAATATATGTATGGAAGGCAAATTGAATGACCCTCGGGAACACAAGGATATGTTTATAAAACTTGTGTTAATCAGATGCGCCGAAGTGGTTTATGTGAAATACTTCAGGAAATTGTAATTGACTGTCAACCGTCACGTGATCAATAAGTCATGTGATATCTTACCGAACACGTTTATATAAAGCTGAGAGAATCCTCGATCTAAATTGGCTATTCTTAGGTATATTTCTTATAAGTTAATAACAAAACTGACCTCGAAATGAAATATTATGTTTTAAACTTATTTTAAAGCTTCGGAAAGCCTTAACATTGCTGCGTTGTCATAATCATTGACTTGTGAAACTTACAATATTTTGAAACTTTTAAGCATATTAAACTTCCTTGATCTAATGTTATTTGCATATTAAGGATAGTAAATAATGTGTAATTATACATATTTTTAGGATATTTTATGCAAAATTTAGTTGCAATTTTTAATTCCATTTTCAAAATATTTGATCTAGAATATTAGTATGCAGATTAATAAAAAAAGCAAGCAAACAGATATTTAGTTTTCTCTCTATCCTTAATACATTCATTGAAGGCGAATTAGACGTCCCTCCATACAATCTAGACCTTAAAATTATCTGTTAATATTTAAATTTCTGAAAATATTGTTTTAGTTAATGACCACTGTATACATTTCAGTTTCTTCTATCATTTTTACTATATTTAAACAATTCTAAAATACATAAATAAAAAAAAATTTAAACAAGCCTATTTAATATCTTTTTTTCTCGTAGAAAATATATTCAATACTGCATTTGTTCAGAAAAGAAAAAAATGTACTATTTATCAACAAGACGGAGGGAGTTACTAAATAGAAAAAGTGAATGAAGATTTACGACGTACTAGATTAGAATGCACAACGTCTGTAAATTATGAAGCTTTTTGGTGAACTATGCCTGCGTGAGGCGTGGTAGTTCATGACCGCATCAATCACTAAAACGATTTTCCCCCCTAATTGAACATTTTTGCTTATCTACACTCTTAATTTCGAACAAAAAAAATAAAGTTCACAAGAGAAAGACCAAATTGCTCCTCGAACATTTGTGCTTTGTGTTTAGAAACAAAAACTTAAAATCGAAATAAAAATTACCAGACCACGATAAATGATTATATACTATGTGTGGTATTGCCTTACGGCACATGCATGATAACGTCAAAATGTCTAAAGCGACGTCACATTTTATCTTTGCTTCAAATGGTTAGTTAAGCCCACTTAAATTACGGAAATTGATCTGAAGCGTACACAAAAGTTTCCCTTTATTCCTCCCTAAACGGTCGAGGGACCAATCTTGCAAACATATAAGACCGAATGAAAACTTGAACATACATATAGTAAGTTATGAAAGACCTCTCGCTTTCACTGAACAAAATAAGCAGTCTTTTTATCGCCTGTCTGCAATGATAGCTTCTTTGTTATTGCAAACAACTTAAAAAAAATCTGATATATTTGTAACTTAAAAAAAAAAAAATTAAAAAAAAGAAAGAAAGAGAAAAGGGAAAATTTCGGAAATTTTTGTTTGCGTTTGCCCCTTCTGGAAATCACATTGTAGAATTCCAAATTAAGTCTTTTAAAAGACGTAATATTTTTGAAAATGTCCCAAAAACTATGCATCCGGTATATGTTCCTCATATTTTGCATGTACACTGATGTTAATGTAGGCTACACAATGGGATAAAACTACACAATTTCTGTCATATATTTTTTACAAAAAAAAGTGGTTTCTTTATAAACATCATCACATATTTTAAAACATGCATCTTCACTAAGGAACAATGATCACATAAATCATATCATTTCATGCAAATAATTCTTCGATTCATGTTTTAGTACCGCAGCTACAGAAGAAGGACATTTACGCAATGACAGGGAAACATCAGGACTTTATCCTTGTTTAGCATCTCATGGGGCGAATATGTAAGAATGCAGATATTTTCATTAAAACCTTTCAGCGCTTAAAATACCCATTCTGATATAAAATTTATCACACCACATCATAACTCAATGCATCTCTCAAAATTGACCAATCATTGACTTTTAATGTGACTTACAATGTTTCTGAAACTTTTTGGCATATTAAAGTATCTTGAGTACAATGTTATTTGCATAATTTAAGATTGTAAATAGTATGTTATTATACACATTTTTAAGATATCTTATGCGACTGTTAGTTGCAGTTTTTAATTTCATTTTTAAAATATTTCATCTAGAATATAAGTTTACAGATTAGTAAAATAACAAACAAACAAACAGACACACATTTAGGTTCCTCTCTACTTTCGGACCAATACAGACCTTAAAATTGTCTGTTTATGTTCAAATTTCTTAAAATATCATTCTACTTTATGACTTATATATACGTTTTATTTTATTTTTATCATTTTTCACTAGATTCAAGAAATCATTAAATAAATAAATAAAGAAAGTAAAAACAAGTCTTCTTTATATCACATTTTTCATTAAAAAGTTTAGATAAGCCCTACCCAAATTCCGGAAATTTTAATGACGCACCAACTTTTTATTCCTCCATAAGTCGAATGACCAATCCTGCAAACTTATGGAACCTTATGAAAACTTGTATTTATAAGTTACGTTAGGTACTCTCGCATTCACTGAACTAAATAGGCAGTGTTTTGTCGACAGTCTGCAACGATTTTTTTATTATTGCAAATAGCTGTTTGTCTGTATGTTTTGATCTACGGGGGGAATCGAACAAAGAGCTTCCGCTTAAAATGATATCAATTCCATTTGTATTGTAATGTTTATTTATGTTTTTACAGTTTGTTATCTTTTGTTACTATTTACAATTTCTTAAGGCATCATTACTCAATTAACATAATGCTCTCCGGTGTTTTGTAACGTCATCAAACGTCGCCATTTCTGGTGTTTTGCGTTACCACATTTCCATTTCAAAATTGGAAAACTGCCAAAAGATAAACAAATTCAGGAAATTTTCTAAATGACAACACAATACGTACTGATTTAAAATATGATAATTTCTTATCCCAAACTTTTCTATGTAACACATTTATTTCGAAACAATACTCGCATATTCCCTGATAAAGCCGCGATTTTTTGGTTGTGCGCTGTACCCGCCTGATGCACATTCAAGTATGATAAAATCCTTATTTTATCTTATTATTTATTAAAATTATTCAGATGTATTTTAATATGATAAATAAACATTTTCTGAAAATTTCAGTTCACTGAGTGCATTCTTTTTTGATAAAAATGTGACATAACTATTTTACCGGACAAACCCCTTGTAAGTCTACATTTCTCAAATTTGTATTTTAAACCTAACATTTATTATTTGTTTCTTTGAAAGTTACTTCCGAAGTTGGCTAAAACAACATTTTGTCTGTTGAAGTACCGATTCTTCCATGAATTTTGACCTAGAAGTCCTTAAGACAGGCATGCTTAAAATAAAATAACAATATTTTGAAAGGTTGTGATGTAAGAAATAATTTAAGATGGATTTCTCCACGGGCACCCCTGCTATAGGGTCGAAAATTACCAAAAAAAATTAAGAAGAAGAATATATGCTTTTGACAACTTGGTTTACTCGATACAGGTATTTTTGCCTGCAATGAGCTGCGATTGATTTCTATATATTGTATATATTCCTTAGAATTCAATAAATTTGGTGTATTACAATTTGGATTCATTCCGTCTTTGCCACCAGTATTTGTCTGGGTTATAACGCTGGAAAGTAAACGAATTATCTATATTAATTGAACTTAATAAATTTAGAATTGCATGCATAAACTTTTTATTCAATGTTCTAAATTCAGATCTCGAGTTTTGATTCAGCAGGGCTACACATCATTAACTGCAATTCCTAGGATTTGATTTATAAAATTTGTATACAATGCCATACTTTATCATATCCACGAAAATGTGTTGTAAATTAAAAAAAAAAACACATTAAGAAAAGAATACACACCATTGATATTACATTTATGTACACTGAAAAGTGGAGAAAATATCAAATAGCATTTTCAAGATAGCAAACTTAATCTGCGTTGACAATATTATGCTACAAAGTCATTACCTATGAAATCGAATCCCCAAATTTTTCATGCTTTAATAAAATGACTTAGGAGAGACAAATTACTGAATGAATGAAGCCTTAAGTCATTGATCGGAACAGAAATTGCCAAGCATTTTACACGTACAGTCCTAGAAACGTTCTGTTTTCCGATGAGCACGATGAGCAAATGCTGAGCAAAAGCTGCGCAGCACAGTTAAGGCTACAAAAAGGGGGTGGAGCCTAATTTGTACGGGAAATGTTAACTTTGACATCATAAAAATCAAAATTTCTTTAAATACTATAAAATGAAATAATTTGCTATTTGAAACTATCGGAGCCCATCAAACTATATCAATACTTACTATAACACACTGTTTGTCGTTAGTTAAATCCCACATAGCAAGGTATAAACAAATCACTGATCGCGATGCACTTGTCGATGTGACGTCATTTCGTAAAACTTGACGCAGTTTGTATGCAGTGAGAGGCAGATCAAGTAATATTTTCACAACGAAAAATGTATTCCATTATTAAATAAAATATTATTTGAAAATATTTAAGAGGCCATTAACTTGGATGCAATGTCGTCTTTATGATTTTATTCATATATATTCCGTACATTTCCTATATAATTGATACTGCCGTATATTTGTATGCAAGTACATCGGAGGGTAATGTAAGGGTCATAATAAACCGATCTAGTGCAAGGGCATACACTCAATTGATCTCAGTAAGCTTTTACATATAGACTTTAGAAGTATTTAGGTATCCGAAAAGTGCTACGATCCTGGTGAAATCTTGAAAATGAATTAATTATATCTATATTTAATGCCGTTGACCAGCAAAAAATACAGCATGCAGTCATACAAATATGATTTTAACAGTAAAATATCTGAATCTATAGAGGATCGCAGCACTTTTCAGAAACTACAATGTGTGTTGAAAATATCTATACATTAAATTTAGAATTTTAACTTGATTATGCCCTTGCACTAGTGAAATTTATTGGTGACCTCGATACTACAAGTATATGTGCTATATCACGTGACTGCCGCATCGAGTGACAAGTCTAAATATAAAATCTTATCGTCCTCAATATGTAGTTATTAACTATAATTACATTTGTCCAATATTAATAAAGTACCTAAAAGAATCGCCATCCTGATTAAGAATATATTTTTTATCACAAAAAAGTGCCGATATTTCCATTGCGCACCTTAACTGTACTGCGTGAACGAACGCAGAGCGAACGATGATTGAACGGTGTGTGAACGCTTAGCACAACTTCATGCACGGTTAGTGAACGCTGAACGGCGAGCGAGCACAGAATGGGAACGGAACGCAAACGCAAGTGAACGGTAAACGCAAGGTGAACAATTTTCCTTATATTGTACATATTATATTCTATCCTATTTCCAAATGAATAAGTATTAAATATAAAATCTTATAAATAAATTAATTGTGTAGTGTCGATGTACTTAACTACATTAAAATTGTTTTCTCTTAAATATCATAATAATTTTTTCCATGCACACTTCCAGATCAAATAATAAATATAGATTCTCGCAATATCATGAGAAAGACGATGTATATATATTTGAACATGTATATATAGAGGTATGTTAAGGTTGCACCCAGATATTTTACTTGCCTATACAATATGACGTCATAGTAAGCTTATGGCGTGAATTATAGATAGCGATTTCTTAATATCTTTATCTGAAGTTTAATTTCAGGTCCTAGAAATGACTGGAAACATATAAAACATAATAGGAACAAAATCTTTCCTTTTTTGATGGTATAAATAGCTAAGTAATTGTCACCGGGTTGAATACTGAACGAGTGACGTCATAACTGTTGATCAAAAAAATGAAAACTAAAAAGAATTCATGTAAACAAATGTATGAAATTGGAGCTTAAAAGTATATCATGTTTGATACATAAGGAATAAAAGATTAAAAATCAGGTACGTTAATTTATTCTTACCATTTCTGTCTTATAATGAAGGAAATGCCGATCAGTCCTTCATCTGTCGTTTTCTTAAGCAAAGATGCAAAAGTTCAACAATATGTGACATTCTTTGATACATAATTTGAAGGTCACCTGAGTCACTCAGGTGACCTATTACTATCCATTTTTGTCTGTATTTGTGTGTGCGTTTACATTTGAACTTTTTCAGCTTCTTCTCTGAAACCTCTGGACCAAATTCAACCACTTTTGGCATGTACACGGATGTTAGTGTAGGCTACACAATGGGATAAAACTATTCAATTTTTGTCTTTTTTTAATATAAAAAGCATCACATGTCTTAAAACTTTATCTTCATTAAGGAACAATGATCACATAAATCATATCGTTGACATTATTTCTTTCATGCAAATAATTCTTTGATTCATGTTTTAGTACCGTGACAACTGAAGAAGGACCTTTACGCAATGGCAAGAAAACATCAGGACTTTATTCTCGTTTAGCATCCCATATGTGAGAATGCAATTATTTTCATTTTTTCTATTATTTTTCAAAGTAAAATTAATTGCATCTTCAATCATTGTGCTAATGATTGACTTTAAAGACATATGTGATACTTTCAATGTTTTTGAAACATTTTGGCATATCAAACTACCTTGAATCCATTGGTATATGCATAATTTAAGATACTAAATCATGTGTAATAATTATTTTATATATATTTAGGATATTTTATGCGACATCAAGTTGGTATTTTAAATTCCATTTTCAAAATATTTTACCTCGAATATTAGTAGGCAGATCAGTAACAAGAAAATAAAATTTACGCAGGTGTGTTAAGAAAACTCTCAGATATTATGACTTGACTAAATAAATCATCAAACTGTAATTTCTTTAAAAATTCTAAATTTCCTAGATATGATATGAATGCTTCCTTATTTCTGAAAATGTCGCTTAAGTTAATGCCCGCTGTATAATTTTTTTTTTTGGGATGATGTTTCACTAGATTAAAGCAATGCCTAAATAAATATCAAAAAAAAGCCCGTTTAATAACGTTTTATCGCTGAAAATATAATCAATACTACACTAATTCAGAATACAAGAATTTGTACTATTTATCAGCAAGAAGGAGGTTCTTCATGGAATAGTTTCAGTTGAGATTTACGAGGTCTTTCTCAAGAATGCATAATACTGTATATCATAACATTTTTTCTTCTTCTTTGTAGCTCTTCTCTTGAAAAAAAGGAACCCAGCATCAAAATGGTCCATGACATTTTCAATCGAGTAGAAAATCTTCTCCGTTCAAGGGAATTTCAACCTTTTGCTTCTGAAATATTTAAATACTCCCCAAATTTAATGCATGAGCTTCAAAAACGCCGACTGGACTTAAAAAAAGAACTGTGTATAATCATTGCAGGTACAAAATGCATTCTGGGGAGGGGGTATCATAATTTATCTTTAATATCAATTATATAATTAACGAATTTGTTGTAAATTTGTATATAATGTTACATATTTATGACATCAAACTACATACGGATGTTTAAAAAAATTGCTGTGATGTCATTCTTGTGTTCCTGCAGTCTCAAAATTTACCGTTTGGCAGTCCGATATTAGTAAGCAGTCTGTTGTTAAGTTTAATATCAGACTGTGTCAATACTGATATCCCTCAAAATTGGACTGTTACTGAACAAAAGAAATTCAAGTGCGATTATTTAGCAAATACCACTGTTTGATCTTAGTTATGTGTACATACTTTTTTTAAACAGAGAGTTATTTACTGATCATAAAGAATTCGAAAACTAAAAAAAAAAGACTCATTCTGAATTAGGAGGGGATAAAAGAAGATTCAAACACGATCTCTCTGAACTCTTAATAAACATGTTTGATTTCAAGTGATGTTTTCATCCAGTGTTAAAAATTCAGAAATTCTCTTATTCTGGGTTGAAACCAATGAATATTTATTTTTATACAACAGAGTTGACTGGTAAATCTCTCATTTTAATTATAGAAGAATTCTACTTCTGGTTATATAAAAAAAATATCCATTAGATATTCAATCCTTTCTAACACAGGCTGTATATATTTTTCCATAGTAAATCTTCATAAAAGTTCTGCCCCTCCCCCATCCCGCAACACACACATACACATTTTCTGTTGCTGTAAGGTCAAAAAAACTGGCAAATTTCAGTACTTTTTTTTTTTTTTTTTAGAAAAGTGTATCCAAAAGTAGAAAAAAGGTTCAACACCCTTTCTTATATAGGATTTTCGGGTTTAAGCGGTTTACCTTGTTTTGGTAGTTGTTGCTTGTCAGATAATTTTTTGGAGGCCCCCTTTAAAAAGCGTTGCTACGGGCCTGTAAAGTTATTCCCAATGCAAATAATTAAAAAATGATATACATTCAGCACCAGCTTTATTTTCTCTTTTTTCAATTCATATCAAAGTTCTAATCTGTATTTTCCTTTCTATTCACTAGATGATCTGTATCATTATTCAATGCACAGCTTCAAGCTCTATGCATACAACTGAAGATATTTTAATCCTGCTCTCCATTTCCAAGGAATTATATTACTTCAAATATCCATAATTGTGTAACTGATTAAAAAAATACTGAGTAGTTTTCATTCAAGTATGCGTTCTTGTAAGAATTTCTTCATCGGCCATTATCACTTTTGTCTTTTGTTAAAATATCAGACTGTCTTAGGTAAATCAAATTGTCATTTAAAGAGCAATGTTTTAAGTATGATATATGCCTCATACAGTTCTGTATGAAAAAAAAAATATCAGACAGTTTTCGGCCCTGAAGGACCTCAAACTGTCTGATGTTATTTCATACAGAACTGTATTTGGTATATATCCATTATGTAATACGGTTGTTAATTTGATTTAGGTGAGACAAGTGGAGGAAAATCAACACTTGTCAATCGACTGGTCGGTAGAAAAATATTCAAGCCTAGTATCGACGAGTCAACTGCAACAATTTGTAGAATTCGTAATTCTAACGATCCTAAGAAAATATCATGCAAAGTTGTAGGAAAAAATGATCAAGTAATAGACGAAAGGAGTTTTGAATCCGGACAAGACGAGAAGATAAGGAAATTCACTGAGGAGAATGTCGACAAAAATGCACAGCTTGCATCAATGGAAATTGATCACGTTGATGTCGGTCTTTATTTTCCTTTCCTGAAGGTTAGGGGATAATGGAATACATCTGAGTGTTTAGATTTTTCGCCTATACAGTGGAATTAACAATTTGTTTCTGTATCTGTACTAAGTTCATTAATATGCACTATTATACAGATTTAATATTATTCTTTGGAGTGTCATCCCTTGTAAAGGTAAACCCAAATAACTCCAAATAAAAGTAGAAAAGTGAATTAAATGTTATTTCTTAATGTAAAATCTATATTCTCTACCTCCAACGCCCTCAGAAATGTGTCACAAAATTACCTGTGATGATATACAAAAAGGAAAGTTTAAAATTTAAACAATTTATTTTAGGGAAATACTCTGATTGTTGATACACCTGGAATTGGTGGGAGTCGGGAGCTCTCAGACAAAATGATGAAGTATCTACCCAATGCGGTTGCTTTCATATTTGTCTCCAATGTTGCAAACGCTGGTGGGGTGCAGAGAGATAGGGTAGACCAATTCTTGTTTATCTCAAAATCTAAAAAAAGTACTCTATTCCTTCATGCTTTTCAAATATATAGGTTATGAAATTTTAACGTGTTGATTAGCAAAGATACTTTGAACCACTCATTAATTTATTTTCCTCTAACATTGAGTAGAATACGCTCGGTTTGATCGGCCAGATTGGCCAAATGTTTTATATCTCATTATTTCTGTTATCTTCACAAGATTAACAGCGTTGTATGTTTGACATAAAAAAATGAAGTAATTTAAGAAGGGATTCTTGTCTGGTTTCTGACCAGACAGAAAGTATATTTGCTTATATGTTTTATATACTTAGATGTAAGGGATTTAAAAGATCATATTTTTCTTTTCTCATCATAATTGTACAACTTTAAATAGAAATTGTAAACTGAGTTGAGATTTAGCAGGGACTATATATTTGGCACAACGGCAGCGTGTGAAAATATCTCCTTTTCTGCTTCTCAAAATTTCTATAGAACAATGAATTTATTTAAGGTGTTTGGCTTCTGACAACAAAAATAATTAAAAATTTAATTTTTCTTTTTTAATTGTAAGAATAAACATAATTAATTATTTTAAGCCAAAAAAATGCATATGTATATGATTTGGTTTACAAGCTATAGGCGTTTATGCCAAAGGGAGGTAAATCTCTCATTTTAGTAAAGAAAAAGACCAAAAATGCGTCCAACGTATTTAATATTCCCTTTAACCTAAAAAATATTTTCAAATCATTTTGACTTTTTGTTATCTTTTAAAAGTAGTCATAAGGAAAATAAATATTGATGAAATAATGATGGTAGTCAACCGAAGATAAAATTAATTCTTTAAAAAAATGCACACACCCCTGTGCAAAAATTCGCTTATTTTTCCTTTTGGGGGCTTGTAAAATAAGCTTGGAAAATGAATTAGAAATAATTAAAAAGTTAATTTTTTTCTAGTTAATTATTTCTTAGTTGTAGTGCTTTGAAACAATGTAAAATATTGTATATCTACATGAGTTACTTTAAAAGATATTTTCATTTGAATTTCCTCTGACCGAATTTTCCTCAAATTTTGAACAGAGGAAATTCGGATTGATAATATTTGCTTCCTACATTATTTAGCCTGTTATTTTTGATGAATTTTCTATTTGCATGAATGTATGATTGTATTAAAACTCATTCTTTCTCTTAAAAAAAGGACATTAAAATATATTAGTGAACGACTATATTTGATATTGAGGGGGAAAGAGGGGGGGAGGGGGGGGGGGTATCGAGTCAGATTATTTTCGTGCCCTCTCAAGACAGAATATTTATTTGCAAGAAGACCGGATACAGATTATTAAATTTCATTCTTGGAAAAATTCTGAAAACTCTACTTCTTTGGGTTTTAATCTTTCATATTACAAAGCTGGTCTCACAGTATATAAACTTCCCAGATTAACAAAACTTAAATCTACAGTATGTAATGATGCTTTCACACAAGTTTCATCTTCTCTTGCCCAGTGGTTCTTGAGAAAATTTTTTAAAGATGCTACCAAATTCTTAATTATCTTCCCTTGAAAGAGGGCGTGGCACTCCTGTGAACAAACTTAAATCCCCTTACCCCAAGGATGCTTTGTGGCAAGTTTGGTTGAAATTGGTCCAGTGGTTCTTGAGAAGAAATCAAAAATGTGAAAAGTTTACAGTCATTGTGATAGTTATCGGTATTTCAAATTGTTACCGGTACATGTAACATACAAAAATTTAATGGCACTGCTGTATACTGTAAACATAAAGGTTTTTTATCGTCTTTGACAGAAAGCTGCTTCCGCTATATCAAGAACATCACAAACTTTATGACGTGTATATTTATTGGTACACAATCAGAAATGTGCCAAAATCAAACCTAGCTTGACCTGTTGAAAAATTAATCACCACCAAGTATAGTGCATGCACAATATACATTTGCAGTATGTCCTTTCATATTCATTTGTGCATATTTCAATTTATGCACATAGCTTTCTTCAATAAATATCAATGAACAGAATTTAAATTCTCATGTATGGTCAATAAATCATTGTCAATTCAGTTTCTAAATTGGATTTATTTTGAATGGAAAGAAAATGTTTTGTTCAACTACAAACTACCAATAACACTAGACATTGAAACATGTTTCATATACAACAGTACATTGCATAATTATACCCCCGCTCCGAAGGAGAGGGAGTATATACTGTTTTATCCTTGTGTGTCTGTCTGTCCATATCAAATTTTTGTCGCAGTTTTCTCAGCAACCACTTATAGCAGATACTTGAAGTTTTAACACTCACTTTGTTTAGGCATGCCATATAGTAAGATTTATTTTGTACGAATCCAATTTCAACTTCCTGTTTATCTGTGCGTCTGTCAATACCATGCATAACAAATTTTCGTCACAGTTTTCTCAGCAACTACTCATCGGAGATGTTTGAAATCTTAGCACACTCTTTGTTTAGGCATGCCATTTGGTGGGATTCATTTTTGTACGAATCCAGTGTCAACTTCCTGTTTATTCCTGTGTCTGTCCATAGCTGAACTTGTGTATATTCACATCAGAGGGTATATTCACATCAGTGCTCAGAGCGGGGGTATTACTAGTGAGCATTGGCTCACCTACTTCTTTACTTTATCTATTCTTAATAACTTATTATGACTGTATACTTTTTTGGAAGTGAGGACCAGTCCTTTGGATGAGACAGTATAAACTAAGGTTTAATGTTGCAGTAGATGCTGCCACAGAAAGATCCCTCATTGCTCAATGGCCTCAAGTGCAGAATACAGGTCTATATTTGCAGACATCGGTCGACAACTGGTTGGTCCAAACATGAGTGAAAAATTTTCAAAGGGACGTAAAAAAAACCCTCACTAGTTCAAATAGTCTCAAGAGCAGAGTACAGGTCTATATTTGCATCCTGACATCAACAACTCGTGGGGTTCCAATTTGAGTGAAAAATTCTCAAAGGGACGTAAAACAAACAAACAAACAATAACATACAAAGAACATCATACATTCACAAACAAATAACTGCATTACTGCTCAGACCTGAAATAATCTGCAACAGAATCAATGATTTTTTTAGATTTTGTCACACGCACACTATTATCAGCTATCTCTGACAGCACATCCTGCACTCCCTCCCTACCATTTCTCTGATATGCAAGTTGTAAGTGGGATAAGGAGAGTCCACTGCCGGCAATCTTATTTCCCATTCCATTCGAAATTACCTTTTGGTCCAATAAAGGCCTTAGTGTACTCATTAGATGCTTTGTTGTGTTCTTGTGATGAAACACGGCAACGGCAGAGTTCAAGGTGAAGGATGCAGCAACTTTGACTTCATGGGAGGGTCCTGTATGATCGACCAATCTCTTCAAGGCTATGACATCCTGTAATGAGTCATGCGCACTGTATTTGTCTTGTAGAATTTCTGCAAAGAGGTGTAACTGCGAGTATGACGAAAGGTTTGGATGTGACATTTTGAAAAGAGGAATTGTATCAATGAAGCCAGTGACTGCAGATGAAAATGTCTCCAAAATGTTTAGTTTACTCAAAATGTTGAAGAGCACAGGAAGGTCAAACACTTTAGAGTTATGCCCAACTAGAACAACATCTGGACCCGACATCTTCATGAAGTCCATAAACTGGATCAGAGCATCTTTAATGCTGACTGTCTCAACTTCCTCATGATTGTGGTACATTTTATTGTTGACTACTTGTATTCCAGTTATTTCTGTAGCTTTTGATGTCATTGGTTTTTTTGGAATGATGTACTTGTTGAATACCTCATCATTTCTAACTGCAGATAACTGCACAATATGAGAATCCCTTGCTGAAAATAAAAACAAGTATATTCAAGTTTTTGAAATTCAAAACATAAAATATCCAAACAAATCCATTGATATATGCACTATTTCAAAAATTTTGAAACAATGAAATACTAGTGCCCCTCTTACCCAAGCCTTAACTCCTGTCGAAAATGCTTGAACTCTTTCAGAGTATGCATTTTCTTTAAATTCAGTGTTGTCAGATTAGGAAAAGTAAAGTTTTGAAAGAACGATATAAAACATGCTCAACTACCAATACCAGAATCATAGAGGTTTAAAAACTTCTTTTATGCCATTTCAAAATATGCATTTGCTTTTATTCAATATTAGCAACAGAAAATATATAATTTTTGAAAAACATATATTACCTCTGTATAAATTATGTGCATTTAGTTTCATTGGTTTTTGTCCCACCCACAGGCCTCTGAGGTGCAAGAGTCATAACATTTAAATTCCTCTTTACTCTGAAGATGCTTTATACCAAACATCGGGGGGGGGGGGGGGGGGGGGGAGCCATATAGTTTTCAGGAAGTTAAAAATGTTTATTAGTTTACACATGGCAGACAGTGGACAGGGACCAATTACAAAAGGTCATATGAGTGTCTCAAATCTTCGAAATTAATCATGTTTTCATACATTCCTTTTGCATATGCTTCCCATACATCTGGTGGATATCAATCAGGAAATAAATTTTGAGATTACATGGGTGTGATATCACAATTGTTTATGACTGAAAGTGTTGTCATGGAGTTTTGCTGCTAAGGCTCGGAGATAGAATATCATATTCAATCATTTCCAACCGCAAAACATGATAGATCCTTCTTTTATAGAATTGTTTACTTGATCGTGATTCCCATATCTTGTGATAAACACTTCTTGGTGGTTTTTGTGACAAACAGATTAGAAATTTTCTTGCTGTTTACAAAATGCTGGGTTTATTCCTTCGACATGCATATAGAAGAAATACTGGAAGAGTGCCATAACCATCAGCATTGACTAGACATTCAAAACTCATTTAGGTTCTTACCGAGTCCAGTAGTTTCCAAGTCGAAATAGATCTCTTCAGCATTTAACAACTGACTTGAAGGAAGATGATCATACTTTGGAATTGTTTTTGGAGCTGGAATTTCATCAATGTCCGAGGCATGGTGGAGATCACATCCTGTCAAATAACTGACGCCTTCCCTTGTCTCTTTTGTAGAAAGACTTTGAATTCTGTAAAGAAGTTGTATATTGTAAAACAAATAATTCCAAATTGAGGTCTTACAAGAGGCCTAGCAAAATAAACACTCACCTGATGTACAGCCAATAAAAAAAATTTACTTAGTAAAGACTGGTTGCACAGTTCTGATAGAACGTTTCAAGCTATTCTAAACCACAATTTTGTACATTACAGGGTGAAAGAAATTTCAGTGACCACTTGGCAAAGCAAATAAATATGAAGCATAACCATTCATCTCAATGAAGATTTTGCTTGTCCCATATGACTCACTTTTCCAATATAAAATAGATATTCAACAATATAGTGAAAAATATACCTCCAAATGAATTGGAAAAAAATATTTATCAAACCACTGGTTGATTCATTCCAGAAAATGTCCTCTTCATTAATTTTATACTTATATCAAACTTTTTATGACAATTTGCAACCAGAAGAGACTCACTATTTATAACAAGCATAAATCTTTGGTGATTCAGAAAACAATAGATCTTAGTAAGATGCAAGAGTTTTTTTCAATTCTCACTTTAAATATATACTTATCAGCAGGGACATCCACTTGTCCTTGGTTGGTTTTCACTTTTCAGTTAGACAAGAGTTTTGTTACACTCTGACAAATGACAATAAAAGTATACTAGTACCTCTTGGCTTTCAATTCTCTCCTTCTCCTTTTAAATTTCTGTGTCATTGAAATGGCCTTCTGTCGTTTTCTTTGGAGATCCCTCAGAATGCACTGTCTTCGAGTATAGTAGCCAGGAGAGAGGCCTAATTTCTTGTTCACCTTTAATAAGGATATAAGAATCCATTATGTACAACTAAATATGCAATACATTCATTAATCTGCTTTTGATTAAAATTTGCAGAATTTTAAAATCTAAGAGATTAATATTCTCACATAACAAAAGTACACACAGTAGAAATATTGTTAGGAATATATGTAATGCAAACAACATACATTATAAAACAAATGGATCATGGGCCTTGATGGTCACCTTTACTACGGCTACTTTGGCCCCGCCCCAAGCTCTAACTTGGGACTAAACTCGCTCCTTTTTTTACCATTGGCCTTGCTGTTTTTCACTTGATTCCCCCCCCCCCCTTTGTAGTACTTATTGTGGCCCCACCCTACCCCAAGGGGTCATGATTTGAACAATTTAGAATCTACACTACCCCAGAATGCTTCCACATTAAGTTTCAGCTTTTCTGGCCCAGTGGTTCTTGAAAAGATTTTTAAAGATTTTTACTACATATTTCAATGTAAATCTTGGATTCCCTATTGTGGCCCCGCCCTACCCCCCAGGTGTCATGATTTCAACAATTTAGAATCTACACTACCCCAGAATGCTTCCAAATAAGTTTCAGCCTTTCTGGCCCAGTGGTTCTTGAGAAGAAGATATTTAAAGATTTTTACTATATATTTCAATGTAAAACTTGGATTCCCTATTGTGGCCCAGCCCTACCCCTGGGGGTCATGATTTGAACAATCTAGAAACAACACTACCCCAGAATGCTTCCAAATAAGTTTCAGCCTTTCTGGCATAGTGGTTCTTGAGAAGAAGATATTTAAAGATTTTTACTATATATTTCAATGTAAAACTTGGATTCCCTATTGTGGACCTGCCCTACCCCGGGGGTCATGATTTGAACAATTTAGAATTTACACTACCCCAGGATGCTTCCACATAAGTTTCAGCTTTTCTGGCCCAGTGGTTCTTGAGAAGATTTTTTAATGACCCCACCCAATTTTTGTATTTTCTTGATTATCTCCCCTTTTAAGAGAACTTGGCCCTTCATTTTAACAATTTAAGCTCTTCTTCACCCAAGGATGCTTTGTACCAAGTTTGGTTAAAATTGGCCCAGTGGTTCTTGAGAAGAAGTTGAAAACGTGAAAAGTTTACAGATGGACGGAGAGACGGATGACGGACAACGGGTGATCAGAAAAGCTCACTTGAGCTAAAAATTAACATACCTTTATAAGATATCTGTGACCTTCATTTTTCTGAGCTACACACGCAGCAACTCTATATCTGAGGCTTGAAGAGGAGCTGTAATGATGGGTCTTTGGGGCTTTTGCAAACACCATTCTGTTAAAACTCTCATTTGATTGCGTGCTTCCTAAACATGAAAGACGATCAGAATGACTTGCATATGAACTGAAAACTTCTTTGAGATCATCCTGAAGGAACCTATCTTTGAGCGGTTTTCCATGTGGAAGAGACTTGTAGCGCAGGTTAGGGTTGTTGATGAACTTGCACCACCGTGCGGAGCAGTGTTTGTGATCTCCAAAGATGTGGTATGGTATTGATGAGAGGTCTTCTTGGATTTGAAGAGCATTTCCTTTTCCCTGTGCTATGGAGTAACTGAAGCACTTTTGAATATACTTTATAACAGACAAAGTTAGAGATGAATGTTCTTTCTTCAAGGTAAACAAAGAGTTTGTAAACAGTTTCTTCAGATGATTTTTATCAGACAACTTCTTGATATTAGCATTGACATTAGTTTTTAATCTTGCTATTGTGGTGGTATCCTCATCTCCTATGATTCCGTCAATGGTTATTCCTTTACTTTTCTGTAAATCTTCTACCATCTCAATAACCATATCTGCCTCCATGGCCTTTGAACTTCCCTCCCAGTTCTTTGAGCACTCATGGGCTGCTGGATTCTTGTTGGTTGTTTCAGCTACACTGCATACTCTGCAATTCTTTGACCTCACAGAATATGACAATACTTTGCCAGAGAGAGGGCCAACCATGGAACAATGACCTAAAAAAGTACATATTTTGAAGTAAAAGAAAAATTTAACACCCAATTTCAAAACAATGCCAATGGGTTATCACACTTTAGAAGATAATCTATACAAAAGTTTTTCCTTTCTTTATTCCTCTGAATAAAATTCACCTAATATTGCTAATGAGAGTGCTTGCATATTGATTTGACTCATTAAGGCTCTTCCTTAATGAGTTTTTTCCTATAAATTCCCATGTAAAAATTATATCCCTTTTTGTGGCTCCATCTTACCCCCTTGGGGCCATAGTTCAAACAAAATTGAATATGCTTTACCTGAGCATGCTTGTACCTATACATGACTACTAATGGCTGTTCTTTGGAAGAATATTTTAAAATTTCAATGTACAGTTGAACTTTGGGATACATGTATCTTTTTCTTTCTTTCTATCATATAAATCCCCGATATCTTAACCGTGTATTCATGGTACAGGTGTGGATTTAAAACACTCTTTTTGAGGTAAACTAAATAAATATCGAAGGCATGGTGCCTGAAGATTTCTTGAATATCAATAGATAATCAATAGATAATCAGGGTCATATTGACATCGCTGCAATATGCCATACACATATTCGAATTTCTAGAGAGGGAGAGAGAGATGTCAACAATGATGCCGATCGATAGCCCCACCTCCTATAAATTTGATTACGTGACCTAAAAACCACTCCGGGTACATGCCAAATTCCGGAAGACGACACTAATGTATCGTTGCTTCAATTTTGATTCATGGCAAAAGGCCTTGCTTTTGTACAAATGTTCTACCTAATATAACCATGTATACGTAACTCTTTCTATTGCTTGCAATATATTTTCGATTCACTTCATTTACAGCTTGGTAGAGGAATTGCAAAAAGATCCAAAGGGCGTTAACTCCACCCATTCTTTACTGCATCTGTTTGCATACATATTTATTGGAATCATGTCCTGAGCAAAATTAATGCATAATTCATGGGGGACGCAGGCCAAAATAAATCACTCTATGCATTAATATTTGTTTCATTTTCCTAAAATTTGTCTATTTTTACCTGACAAACTATCATATGTCTTTCCACTTCCCCGTTTTTGCCATCCAGCATCTACAGCAACAACTAGTCCCTTTTCATTCATCTCTCTGAAAGATAGTTAAATAACAGACATCAGTTATTAGCCTGTGAACCTGTCTCCTTTAGAACACCTCCCTAATATGCATAACAATCTGCATATTTACCAGCACTAATTATGCAGTAGATGACTAAAACTAACATTTATAAGTATATCTAGTAACTGCGAAGCAGTATATAAAAAGTCATAAACTGTTCCAACCCAAGTTATACCAGTATATGTAGCTATTAAATTCACTCCTTATAATTTAATTTTTTAAATCAATAAGACAATTTCTCCTTCAGAAATGCCTTCGAATTGCACATATTTTAAAAGTAACACCAAGCGGATTGATACGTTTTTGACGTACATTAAGTCATTGTGACGTAGGCAACACAGGTTATGCCATAAAAACTAAAATTTTTTATCCAATCAAATAATGCGTTACAACCAAAATTAAATTTTTTATAAATATTTTGACTCCATGCTGTGGACCAAAATGTAGACTAAAGGAGTTATATGATTTATTCAAAGTTTAATCAACACAACATTGGGATGCTTCAATATAAATATGATCAACATGGTCCTGCTGGGTTTTTTTTCCTTTACACATGCATTATGTAAAATTTGACTGCTCTGATTTTGGCTCAACTCTAACCCCAGTGCTAATAATTTTTTTTTAAAAATCTACTCTTCACATCTTAGATATGTGTTAGTAATTTATAGGATTTAGTGTGATCTTGCAACTCTATCTTATGTACTCCTTTATAAAACTCTAATCCGCTATTGTAGTCTCAACCTAATTTTAAAAAAAAAAACCATTTTTCCTATATATTCTTGAATAAAATTTGATCACCTTTTGTAAAAACCCTAGTCCTGGGGGGTCATGATTTTTACACTATGTAATGAAGCTAGCTTTCACATAAATTTCCTCTTTCCTGGCCAAGTGGTTCTTAAAGAAGACTTTTAAAACATAACATTAAATTTTCTCTAATTATTAATTATCTCCCTTTTAAAGAAAACATGACTCTTCATTTGAACAAACTTGAATCCTGACCTTTCATTTGCACAAACTTGAATCCCTTTACCCAAAGATGCTTTGTGGCAAGTACGGTCGAAATTGGTTTGTGTGGAGAAGTCGAAAATGTGAGAAGTTAACAGATGACCACTACACATGGTTGCTGGACACCCTTTGATCAGAAAAGCTCAATTGAGCCTTTGGCTCAGTTGAGCTAAAAAGTGAGATTTTAAACTGAATTTATATTGTATACACACTCATTCATCATTCCCAGTTCCTTCTGCAAAGCATTAGACATAGACTCTGCAGCAACATCTTGGACAGCTCTGCCGATCTCTTTCTGTCTATTGTCTAGCATGGCATGACTAACAGGTGGTATATTCAGCTCAGAAAGGAGACTGTTAACTTGAGTTACACCAATGCCAACATGTACCATTGCTGTAAATAAAAATTCAAAAATGAAAAAAAAAATATCAATCTAATTAAAACAAGAGGCTCTTGAACCACAACACTCACCCGAGTCTCATTTTTCTCTGTATTCCCAGGAAATAAAAAAAAAAGATCCATACTGTACTCAAACCCCCAAGGGGTAATGGCTACCAAACTTAAATTGATCTACATAACATTGGGATGATTCAATATCAATATGATTAATACGGTTATATGGCTTTGCTCTTCTACAGAGAAGATGATTTTTAATTTTTAAAGATTTTTTCCATGTACTATTGCATTATGTAAAATCTGTTAAGTCCAGTGGTTCAGAGAACAAATCTAAACAAGAAGTCTGTGAGCCAATGCTCACTAGTAATACCCCTGCTCTGATGTAAATATATGTTCTCATGTAGAAACACAGATATAGAGAATTTACGGATATAGTGAAGTTTTTTGGAATCCCCAGCAAAATTCCTAACAAATCCTAAGAAAATATTACAGCTATAACAAACTCTGATATAACGAATTTACAGATATAGCAAACTGATTTTGTGTCCCGTAGAGATTAAAAATAATAAAAATTACATCTTTTATAATGAATTTTTATAATGAATTGCAAATTCAATATATATACTTTAACAAATTCGTAATACAGATATAACGAATTACGGATATAGCGAAGTAATTTCACAGGTCCCTTGGACTTTGCTATAACTGAGTTTACTGTATATACACAAGTTCAGTTGCGACAGAAATTTGGTATGGACAGACGCATGGATAAACAGGAAGTAGACATCTGATTCGTATAAAAATGAATCTTACCATATGGCATGCGAAAACAAGAGCACCGCTAAGCGGAGCATCCCCTCACAGAGGAACTTCACCAGTAATGGTAATGTCTCCATACGAGAGAATAATTCTCAAGAGGGACGTTAAGAAAGATACAATCACCTAGTTATCAAGGGCACCCACTATTACTATATAAAGTTTACAATAAGGTAAAGTACATAAAATGTATTGCAACACTAATTAATTTTTTAACAAAAGTCAAAGTTGATATTATCTTGGGGGGGGGGGGGGGGGGGATGGGGGATCCATTTTTAACAAAAATTAAAAGTGCATATCATATTGGTGGGGAGAGGTGGGGGCATAACATGCATACGTAATTGGGCAGTTTCCCTTATTCCTAGCAGAAACATATCACGTATGCTCTAAGTTTCAGTAATTTACCTATGCAATATGCATAAAATCTGAGAATACCTGTGGAAGCAATATTTTTTCGTAATGAAAAATAACAATATGTCAGTGTTGAGAGGTCAATGAAACTTGCGAAATGTCTTTATAGCTTTCAGAAGAAATAAGGATAAATTCTATATTGTAAACAGACACATGTGGAAATTTAATAATGAAACTGCAACGTTCATCAAATTATTTCAATTACTCAGTGTCAGAGATGACACTTTTAATTCAGACAGATTGTCTCAAGATACGCACAATAATATGACAATATAAATATGCAAATACATAGTAGAACTTACTGAAGCGAGTCTATCGAAGCGATCCGAATTTACCAGTTTGATTAACAGGAAGTGAGTATTGTCAAGTCGTACATAAAATTTCAGGGCTTGAAGGTACGCAATATTTAAAGAAATATTTCACTGATTAACTTGAAAATGAATAGGATTTGTCCTTTCACAATCCCACATAAGTATGTGGAAGCTGAGATTTGATAGTACAAAGGTTCTCCTTAAATCTTGCCAACAAGCTGTAATGGACACACTAACACACACACAAACACACACATATATGCACAGTAGCGATGCTATATCCTCTCCGCAACTAGCTGCGCGAGGGGATAACAAAGAGTGTGCTAAAAACACAAGGGTAAAACAGTTTACCCCCCTCTCCTTTGGAGCAGGGGTATAATTTTGTAAAGTTAACAGACAGACAGATAAATGGAAAAACTTAGATCAGAAAGCTCAAATGAGCCTCTGGCTTCAATAAGTTAAAAATGGCTTCCCAACAAGTTTTTATTCTGAACTAAACATTATATATATATATATATATAAATTCTTTCAAGTTCATGCAAAACAAGTGGCACTTATGAAATCTTTGAACAATGGGGAAAAACCTATACGTACAAAAATGAGCTAAAATTTAATTAGGCTCTTGTGACCTGACAAAAATTAATATATGTGTATCTGATGTAGGGGATGTGTAAGTGAAACTTCTCACCTGCTGATAGTTTTGTATTTACATCCCACACTTTTCCATGTTTTTTCCCCGTTTTTACATGGTTAATATGATTACACTTTGTATTGCTGCAACAGACCTGAAATGTGAATGTAAAACCAATGAATCCCCAGTTACAGGTCACTGTAATAAATTCATTCACCGTTAATGAATATCAAATGCTGGGGAAAAAAAGAATTTCAATATGCATTATTTCAAATATGATAAAAAAAAATATTGTAAAACCTTTCAAAACTTTTAATAAGGACATGGAATAATGCCTATTTTACATTGAGAAAAATCCATGAAAAAAAACCTTTCAAGCTTTCAAAGTTGTTTTCTAACTAACTGGACATAAATTTATGAGTTTATACCTTTAACAAAGAAGCTAAACCATGTGTCAGTACAGAAATTGTGTGTGAAAGTTGCAATGGTAAGCCACATTTACAACATCCCTGCAAGCCCTCAGCTAACACTCCAAGTTCTACCACTCTCCTTCCCTCCTTCCAATCCTCAGATGTAGTCACTTCTCCCCCATCCACCACCTCCTCTCTTTCCAGTATATTTAAATTTGGCAATTCTATTAATAAAGAATGAATAAATAAAAATTATCACCAGGATACACATAACGTTCTTTACTATCTACACATGCTGACATTTAGTTGACTACTTTTGATACACTTACAACAGTTCATAGTGCCGATATACAGCATATTTTTGACATTTAAGAGGTAAGTATATGCTATTTAGCATGTGCATATATGCATAACAAAATTCATGCATTCATGGTGTTGGGATAGTTAACTTGACAGGGTTGTGCATCCAAGTTCTTCTGTTTTGTTCCATTTTACTAAGAAGTAACACAATATAAACAATTTATTTCTATTATTATGGTTTTGGGCCAGTCTTTTTAAAATTTACTGGCCCAATGTGACAGTGAAAGTACTAGACTGCTGAGTTAAAAAATTGACCAGTAAAAATTTAAGCGATAGCCTGAGTGGCCAGTGAAAAAAAAAAGTAATCATTTTTAGTCCTGGACCTGTTATAAGATAAATAAACCATCCTGATCAGTGGCGGATCCAGGAATTGCATAACAGCGGGGCGCAGTAGAAGGCAGGGGGTCTGGGGGACTGCATTGACCCCCCAGTGGGTCTAGGGCAAAGCCCTGGTAGGGGCCTGGAAGCTGATGAATTCTTACAAATAAGAGATGTTTTTTCCTTGATTTTAGGATAATGGACATAAAAGTTCTACATACAAAAAATTCAAAAGGGGGGGGGGGGCTGGCCCTGTATCCGCCTTTGCTGATAGAGATTTCCAAAGTTTCTCCAAATATGTTGTTGAAATCCATTTTATTTGTTTTCAATCTCTTATTTGCTATGACATCTCAACCACACATACATGATGACACAGCCTATTCACACTGTGTTATGAAAATACAAACAATTAATGAATAAAGGTAAAGGGAAAATCAAAGAAAATGTAACAACAGAAAATTCAATGTTTTGTAGTTGTATATGGAATTTATTTCAATCATGAGACAGGATTTTTTTTTAAAAATAGATTTTCATTTGTGTTTTCAAAGACACTTGTGAAAATATAAAAAAAAATCCTATCCCACTAGTGAAATAAATTCCATATTCAGCTACAAAACATTAATCATCCGCTATGTATCATGATACACTGGAACTGCATCTCAGTATTGTGATAAATATTGTGAGATTTCACCTTTCATACATTTTTGCATAATTTGTGTCAGACTGTTTTGTAATGTAACTTTCCATCACAATGTGAAGAGATCAAATGAGTATATTATTTCATCAAGCTTTAACATTTTATAATCTTTGAACCACAGCAATGAACAGCAAAAGTAAATTAAAAAAATATATATCTTATATATATTTATTACATGTAGGTTAAACTATAAAAAAAATTAACATATAGGCCTATGACTTAAAATGTTATAAGGACTAGAACGGCGCACTGTAATGGACATCATGTGCCTTCCTTTAATATTTCTAAGATAGATCTAACATAGATGCAGATGTGCAAACTGGTTTTTTTTTTTTTTAGATATGATACACGTATGTATACAAACCTTGATCATGATCAATGTTAACAGGAGTTGCACTGGCGGAGTAATTGTGGTCTCTAAGAATAGCTCCCCTAATCCATCGGGTCAATTGCCCTGCAGATACTTTTTCATATCTCTCCTTCTTCGTTTTCGAAACGAACCCATGGCGTCTGTACTTTGGTTTCACCATCTTAACCAAAGTTTACGCGCCGAACGTTACTCCACGTCTGCTTTTTACTTACATTATCGTAATCCGTCTCACATGTCTTAATTTTCCGCGAAATATAAAATAGTTATTATATGTTTTCTTCTGGCACAAAAATCAATATTATGTTACTTTCTACGGATAATTATTATAATTACTTAAAATAAACTATTATTTTTCTGTCATACTGAATTCTTTATTAAAACGACATTCAGACCAATTTCCGGCAGTTCGAGTTGCGCGGTGTATTCAAATTCGTCAGAAGCGAAACACCTTAAAAAAAATTTAAACAATCAAAGATCTTAAGAAAATTACAAATGTAAGTAAAAGTAATAATAATGGAGCAAAGTTTTAAAATATATCAAATAAATATGATTTTGCAAACAAATTCTAATTTTGTTATCTTTTAAATGCTTCCAATCTAAATACAGAATTGAGCAAAAATCCTTAAATAGTGTTTTTTCTCTCTTAGTAAACGGTCAAAACTTTTTGTTTTTGTATCAATTTGTATCTTTATATGACTACTTTACCATATGTGAAAATCAGAAAAATTTAAACATACGAAGCATATAAAAATAACTAATATATCCTAAAAATTTAGGAAAAACAGAGGAAATTTTGATTAGTCAATATATATATCTTGTTAAATTATTTATATCAATTTGGTAGTATCAACTTATAGATCCTATATGGTAATATCTTTTTATGCCAAAAAAAAAATCTTTTGAAATAGAAGTACACATGGCATAATTGGCAACAGTAATTTTTTTATTCTTAAGGTCAAGGAAAAAGACAATGACATTGACCTGACCTTGGTTTTAAAATAAAACGGTCAAATTTAATCTAATTGATACCATCACTTAATGATAATGTCTTCTTGAATCTATGAAAATTTTATTAATTTTTAAATACAAGAAATATGAGAAGAATCCCTCTTTAACTAAATTGTAAAGTATAAAGAAGTAGACATTTTGAAGGACATATACTTTATTTTGACGTACATGTAAATAATTTTGAAATCACTGAATGTATATCTTTCTGTTTTTTTCTCTCTCCACTTCTCATGGATATTGATATAATCTTAATATCATGTAAATCTTATACGGTACCAATTTTGATGCACCAGATGCGCATTTCGAAAAATAATGTCTGTTCAGTGATGTTCGTGCCGAAACATTGGAAACCCAAAATATTTTTTTTATTAAAAAACGTTGAAAAGCTAAAAAAGGTGCCAAAATCTGTAAATTTATGTTTTTCTTCTAATTCACAAATATTTAAACTAGTTTTTCCTTCCCTTTGAATTTTTGCCATTTTTTCGGAAATACAGCTCGTCAAAATTATTCAAGAAGTGGTGCGGCTTCATGATGAAAAGGATATCACTTGTTTAGATCCAAGGAATGCCTTATTTATCTCAAACAAATGGGATGCGGTACCGCAAGACGAAAGGGATGAAGGATGGAGCAAAGTTCAAAGGGAGTTAAAAAAGCACTGGCCACATTTGACTTCTGAAAATATTTTCAGAACAAGCCTTATGAGTGTAAGAATAGAATAATGCTTTGAACTTTAATGTATTGTGTTAAACATGGAGACAGCTATTATATTTAGGTATTTATTTTATATGCATTACAAATTGATTACATTTTAATATCGAGATTAAAAGCAAAAGGTAGATTATGCAATCATGGAGAGGAATTTAATATTAAAAATGGCGATGATATAAGCACATAAAAATTGTGATGTAAACTTTTCATGAAAGAGGTTGATTTATTGTCTGTCGTTTTTCCTCGTTATATAAATTTAACGTGAAAAAAAATATATGCGTTAAGAAATAATGCACTAACATTTTTTTCTTTGTAATGTTTTAGACTAAAGATAAGGAACCAGACTTTGATGCAGAATTTGAACGATTCAAAGAAAGACTCGCTAAAGTCGTTGAAAGAAGTCAATATACTCGCCAAATTAAACATTTAACGTAAGCAATATTTCAATTTGTCATTTTGTGCGTGTATATATTTGTGTGGGTCCTCTAGGATTACTTCATTTGTATTTTATTTTACTTAATGAAAATTACAGGAGTCCTTGTCACATCAAGTAATGATTGCATAGGAATTTCGTTAAAAATATCATTGATTTGTAAAATGTTAACCTATCTACATTTTAACGGGAAATTTGATTATTACACAGGGTAAAAAAACTCGATTTGTTTTCGCTGTCCTTCGTCGTTATTGATCTTACCGCAGCAAAAGAAATAGAAATGCTTGACATAAGTAACATTTACATGTACTACACCTAACTATAGTTTACTATAGTGTCATGTTTACACTTTGGTTAATCAATATACTTTTTTACCATGAAAAGTTTTTAAATAAATATGTGTTATTTTGTCTAAATATATCACAAATCTCCTTAATAAAGATTTCTGAAGGAAACACTAAAACCCATCGAGGTAAATGTGAAATGCTGTTTAAATGCTACGTCAATGTCAAAGGAAACACGTATTCACACTATGGAAAGACTCAAGTTCGATATTTCGCAGCTCCAAAAGGACACGGAGCAGGTAAGGTTGATTTTCTTTAAATATAAATATGCATTTTTTAATTCACGCTATGAATTTCACCGATCTTCAAATAAAACAAAAGAATGTTAATCGTTAAAAATATAAAGTCAAATTTAGTGGTCTTGTATGTAACAGCAGTCAATACAGGTAGATAGCGTGAAAAAATAATGCAATCAAGGGCAGATATCCAAAAAACAAAACAAAACAAAACAAAACAAAACACACACATCAAAACTGATGGTAAAGCAAACATTGACCCTTGAAAAACATCGGGATGGGTTCAAATGTCATGAACAAAAAATTGATCGGTCATACCCGCCATGAGCCTTTGACTTAATTTAAAAAAACGGATTAATTCTATACAAATCAATGTTACATATTATGCTAATGGATAAATAGCACACAGTTGAATCTACATTAATAATGTAATTCAAATACAGTAAAAATAATAAATCCCTAAAACGTGATGAAATCGTAAGTCTTCTTAAATGGGCCCCTGAAAAACATCGGGATTGGTTCAAGTGTCATGAACAAAAAACAATTGGTCGGTCATACCCGCCATGAGCCTTTGACTTAATTTAGACAACGGATTAATTCTGTACGAATCAATGTTACATTTTATCTTAATGGATAAATAGCACACAGTTGAATTTACACAAATAATGTAATTCAAATACAGTCACAATAATAAATCCCTAAAATGTTATGAAATCGTAGGTCTTCTTTGATGCCATAACATTGGTCCGATTGGTGTAATATTTCTATTTCATTCTATAATCATAAGATAACCTCAAAAAAATTCCACATTCACACCGGTCATTCAATTTTTTAATAAGGTAACTTGGGTTTGTTCTGCTCCCAATCTGCATTGTTTTAATGGACTTTGAGCATAAATACTGTTCGTTATCTCCATATTTCATCATATTAATTTTCAATAACCTGCTATAGTTTAGAAGTTTTTAGCGAGCAGAACATACTACACAGTTATCGACTTACGTGTAGTTCGATATACGGTTACAGTATAAGGACGAACTCATCACTGCTAATATTGTAAGCTAGAAAATGTTTGGTGCTTATCACCGCTACAATTTATCAATAACACGATTGGCAATTAAAACTTATTACTGCTGCACATTTAAATCTGCTTGCGATGGCCCAGAATTTGAGCTACATATTTAATATAAAGCACTATCAATGTAGTTGAAGCATAAATAAGAATATGAGCTCTCTTCAATGTCATTCATTTAGCCTGAAAGAGAAATACAATTAGACTTCAAAAACTCTGCAACATGTGTCTTTTAAAACTAAAATGGGTAAAATTATTAATAATGAAGTAAAAAAATATCTTTTCTGTCCAAAAGTCTGATGTTAACCTCCCCCTGCTGAATGTGAGATAAAGGTGTTATACATTTACATATTTAACACTATATATGTACAATATATACGGCTCTGGCTAACGAAAAAGGCATTTTAGCGGTAATATATACTTCTTTTTACATTTGCAAATATTTTCCTCAGATTAACCTATGGAAGAGCACATCTGTTTAATTCTGTGTAAAATAAGTAGGGGGTCAAAGGTCTGGTGGTACTGAATCATACGGCTGGATGATACCATGCCTACGGAACTTCTAACTTGAGAGCTATAACGGAGAAAAAGAATGGAAATATGATATTTTTTTTTTAATCTACAGATCTAGATGCCAATTATATATTCTTTTGGTGTAACATATAATTTGAATAAAAGCCTTATTTAGTGACCAAAACATACCGTTTAAATTTTTAAACCCGAAATTCCTTTCGAAATTTGTAAATTAAAACTTTTCTCTTCGTCAACTAAACATATGAAAGAATCATAAGAAAGTAAGAAAATCCTCAATACCAGCACTGTAACTGTAGTTATACTCCAAGACTTTTGACTGCGACATCAGTGAATATTTTCAAATGTTGGAATTAGGCAAACTTTCGTGACCTCATTAATCAATGTCAATTCTACGTTAATAACAAGGCTAAAATGATTCGCTGGGAAATGCACTTGGTTTGCATGTGAAAAAGTCTATTAAGAAGCCGGAATGTTTCTCAGTAGATTTTATTATGTGACCAACCAAGTTCATTTCCAGAGAACTTTTTCACCATGTTATTTATTTCTTTAAAAAAAATGTTGGGGTAAATGTATATTTTGTTGTGAAAATGAATGTATAGCAGTAGTGCCTATTAAATGTTGCAGGAATGTGATGTTCCCCCCTCCCCCCTTTTTTTATCATTAAATATATATCTATCTGAAAATCGTAAGTATGATACTGTTTCACAATGCAGTTTAAAAGAAATTTATATAAACCTTATTAAAAACATTACAACAAATCATCTTCTTGCAGAGAAAAGTGCATCTTAAAAACCTGATATCTAACACAATGTTAGATTTGAGTCAGACTCTCCTCGAAGAATTGAAATCAGAGAAGGGTAAACATAGGATCCTGAATCCACCAGATAAAAAAGAAATTACTTCTGTTCACGTCTTGAAAGTGGCAAAGAAAGTGAAGAAAAGAATTTTAACATACATTACTAAATGGAATAGGGGGGAAACCGTCATTAAAAAATTGGAAATTGTGCATAAGGCAATTGAAGACAATTTTTCAAACATTCATGAAATAATCACGAATATTGAAAGTGAATTGAAAGGATCAGAGAAAGTATCAATGCACGAAAAACACAATGCTTTGGAACCCGACACTCCTATTTTAGTTGGAATTGTAGCATCTGCCCCAATTTGGATTCCAATCTTGGCTGCTGCTGGTACTCTCTGTGTCGTCGCAGGATTCATTCTATCCCCAATAGTGGCAAGACAAGTAAGTCAATGGAACAACCAAGAAAAGAAAATGAATGTCATTGATAAGGCATACGACGATTTCGTTAAGCAGTACACCATAGCAGATATAAAACCAGAATTAGACAGCACATTTGGAGTACACTACAATCAGTTATTAGATAGACTATTTACTGAAACAACCGAAAAACAAATTTCATATTTAATTGGAATAATTATGGGACTTGAGGAGGAATGTGCTTTTTTTCACAATAAGAAAGCCGAGCTTGAAAAACTATGTAATGAAATTGATAGAATTAAAATATCTCTGTACTCTCTATCATGGAAACACTGAACACTAAGTTTAAAGAAAGAAGAGTAAAATTTAATTTTCTTTGGTTTAGTAGTTTTAGACAAGTTGTGGAATAATTAAATCATACACTATGATTTGATATTTACCAGAAAAAAATGTTAATATTGACCAATGCGAAGCCGATTATATGCTGTTATGAACCTGTTGCGTTTATATACTAGTAGATTATATAGGGTGTATACGTAAACTATAAAATATTCTACTACAGTGATTGCCGAGCTCAAAGACATGCCGCGGACATTATTTTCCAATAAATGTCGAACATCATCAAACAATTATCAAATCAGAAACACCTCAAACCTTCGCTGCAGAAATGTAGCTCTCCGAAAAAAATATATTGTCAGTCCGGAGAGCTACAGTGCCACCCACTGAAAAAAGTTTATATTTATTGCGCAGGAAAAAGTGCGCCGTTTCTCGATTTCTTCCCACGTGTTTTCTCAATCTGTCACCTCGATACTACTAAACGTGTGCTCTTAACATAGTCTTTTACTATTTCCACAACAAATCATTCCTTACAACCGTGTTAATAGCCCTCCTGAGCCTGAAATTTAGACCATCGAAAACTCGCCTATTTATACTGCCATTTTGGGTGGCAAGATAATTCGATCCAAAGCGCTTTGTGCAAATGTTAACTATGAGAGTCAGGCCACAAAAGGGGGCAGAGCCTAATTTGTACGGGAAATGTTATCTATGACATCATACAAAACCAACAATCCTTAAAAATACTACAAAATGAAATGATTTGCTATTTTAAACTATAGGAAACCATCAAACTACATCTAAACTTACTATAACAGGCTGTTTGGTCTTTATTCAAATTCCACATAGCAAGGTATAAACAAGTCACTGATCGCGATGCACTTGTTGATGTGACGTCATTTCGTAAAACCTGACGCAGTTTGTATGCAGTGAGAGGCGGATCAAGAGATATTTTCACAGCGAATATGTATTCTATAATTAAATAAAATATTATTTAAAGATATTTAAGAGGCCATTAACTTGGACGCAATGTCTTCTTTATGATTTTATTCATATATATTCCGTATATTTCCTATTTAATTGATACTGCCGTATATTTGTATGCAAGTACATCGGAGGGTAATGTAAGGGTCTTAATAAAAAAATATAGTGCAAGGGCATACACTCAATGGATCACAGTAAGCTTTTACATATAAACTCTAGAAGTATTAAGGTATCTGAAAAGTGCTACGATCCTGATGAAATCTTGAAAATGAATTATTTATATCTGTATTTAATGCCGTTGACCAGCAAAAACTACAGAATGCGGTCATATAAATATGATTTTAACAATGAAATAGCAGAATCTATAGATGATCGCAGCACTTTTCAGAAACTTCGATACGT